TGGCTATTGAAATATGGACAATCCTTTAATCCAGTCCACAAGGTCCTTCCTCTGTGATGTCATCTCTTACCACCTGAGATGAACATGACTTTTTCCCTCTCTGGGGTTTCAGAGAATGTACTTCCTACCATTCTCAAGTTAATTGCCCATTATTTAGATTATATGGTTTGGTTTTTTCTTAAATATTTGCAACCATATTTTTATCATATACAGCAACTAACATAGTACTTTGTGCACTGTATGTGGCCACTAGATATTTGTGAATAAATTATTGAATCAGTAATAATCCAGTCTGTGTGTATGTGTGTGTGTGCATATGTGCATATGATGATGACAACCTTGACCCAGTACATTGAACTTTCACTTTTGAATATGTTTTTAAAAAGAAGCAGTGTATCTATGTTTAGATTTTTCCCAATCGGCTTATCAGGGAAAAATAATATGCAAAATGAACATATTTTAAACACAGTTTATAAAATGGCTCATAGCTTGCTTATCCAAGGTCTCTAAGACCTAATTATTTTTCTCTGGGGTTATAGTAGTCATTTATTCTACAGAAGGTAGTTTTTCTGAAAATGGAGGTTACATCTAAAAGTCTCAGGATATGTTAAGCTCAGAGTATAGGCAGATGAATATGGCAATAAATAGAAAATAAATTACAGATCAGCAAAAAGATATATAGAAGCCTGGGATCAACCAAGAATTTGGAGTGAAACCCAGTTTGCCGACACATTAGAACATAGGCATCCGTGAAAATGGAGACAAATTTGAATTTTCAGAACAAAGAAAGCCAAGAATGAACTAGAATAAAAAAGGAAAAGCAAAGCTCACGTTGTACCCACAAAACTCAATTAAGATGGGAGAAGCGATCTGCTGTGAAGCAGCTTTGGGAACAGTGTCAGCAGGCACCAGGCAAGCACAAGGTCAGGGAATGTACGTACTGGGATCAGAAAACAAGACAAATTAGAATACCAGGCAGTAGGAAAGCAGCCAAGACAGTATCAATGACAAGCAATCCTTGACGATGCAGCAACTCCTAACTCGGCCAAGAAGCCTTTTAAATACTTCCTACTCCTGAGTGTGGCCGACAGGAACTCCAAGTGAATTATATCGAGTGGATGGTAAATAGATTAATGAGACTGGAGGAGACAAGCAGCAGTACTTTACCAAAGTATATGGTGCTTGTAGACAGAATGTGTTGCTTAGAGAGGATCAGAGCCCACTAAGTGGTTTCAAATGGCAGTTCCACTATTGCTTCATCTGTTAGCTTGGGAAAATTGTTTTGCCTCCTTCAGTTTAAATTTACCCATCAACAAAAGGGAGATAATAACATTTCCTATTTCATGTTGTTAAAAGGACAACCTTTATTAATCATTTAGCATATTGTAATCACCCAAATATTAACTATCATTAAACATGATTATTATAGAGTTAATTTATTTTATCTTAGTTCTAGAGTTTAATGTATCTATTGCTAATCAATTCTGGCTATGTGAAGACAGTCTATTAAGACTTGTGACGCCTTAAGTATTTGTGTGCAAGCACCTAGAGATCTGCACAGACTAAATGCCATGGTGCAGCTTTGTTGTCTCTTACAGATATGGCTGGATGCACACATTATTTTGAAAATACCAAAGTTGCAACAGATTGACCATCTTGGCCTAAATACTCTTCCATAACATTATTCTAGTTCCCTCAGTGACAATTAAATATCCCAATATGGCAACTCTTGCATTATGTTAGTCAAAGATTTTCTTTCCTAAAATGACACATTGTTTGGATTCTACCAAACCACAACGCAGTAAACCACAGTCTAAGACTCAAACCCTGCGTGTGGAGAAGGCTGCAGATAAAATTGCTGCCAGGCCAACTTTTTGTTTGATGTAGCCAATCGTCTTTTCTTCCAAATGACTTCATAATTTACTATCCCTTTTTAGAGAGGATAAAAAGCATTGGTAACTTGCCCTGTTGACCTGAAATGTCCATAACGTAACCCCATGTTAAACGAGAAATAGGAAAAAGGACACTCACTACAAGAAGCTAGAACTCAAAAATAATATTAAATAGCCTTTTTGTTATTTTTTAAAACTAGTATTGTTGATGTGAAGTAACAGACCCACAAAACAATCTGAAAGCCCAGATAGCTACATGATATGGATAAAAGCTAGTTTTCTTCTTAAGTTATAAGTTACTTAAATTTATGCACAATAGTTTTGGAACTCAATTGAATAATTTTATGCACTACTAAGCTTAGTACTTATCTCAAGCCCTTTCTAAAAAAAGTCAAGTTGAAACAGTGACTTTTATATTAAAAGCCCAATGAGTCACTACAATACTGTGTCACTATGGTATCAGCATGTTTATATTATTTTTCAAGACCCAAACAATCAAAATGACCACTTAATTTGTGAAGTTGATATTCGTCTACTTGATATATGTTGCATTAAGCAGCTTCAGGACAACCTAGTAATGGTTACTACAATCACTACAATTGTGATTTGCATGGTTTTTGTCATTTCCATCCTATATCTTCTAGAATACATAAGCATAGTTTTATGTGAATAGACAAGGTCTAATCAATCTTTCTGAGCTACAATGAGAAGGATCTAATCACAAATAAGGAAATAGTTAAGGTATAACAGAATCATGAACGGTGCTGACTTTAACACTAAGATATGTGGCGAGTTAATAGTGGTCAAGGTTACAGTAAGCAAACAATTAAGTCTATGTTAATGGTTCTATCAAGATGATTGCTGGAGTAAAAGTTGAGAAAGCCACTGTTTTAGAAAGGATCATGGAGAGGGAAGACCTTGAATATGAGTGAAGGTAAAACAAAGTTTAGTTCAGTTCAAGGAATGAAGCATAAACATGAAACACTTTTGGGATGTTTCCTAAGCCAACACGTCCCATCAGCACAGACAGTCCTAACCCATACATGGTGGGTCACTGGAAAGAAGACAGAACCTGGAAAGCCCAGGAGTTAAAAATGTTTCAAGAAGGCAGTAAGTAAGCAAAGCAGCACGTGTAGGATTCTTATATTTTCTACAAACTTTGAGGGGAATGAAGGTAATTACCATTTTTGCTGGGCACAATTGTTGAAGCTGTTTCTTTTCTCCTCCAGAGCTAGACAACTCTAAAGGAATGTTTGGTAAATACGAAATATAGGTGCAGAAGGAGGGAGAAGCAGAACTAGAAAATGTTGAGAATTCTAATGTACTCACTATATTTCTTGAAAACAGGAATTCTATACCTAGTGATCTTCCTCATTTGACCCTTACAGTTCTAAAAGCATGATTGTGTTTATACCCTGCTGGTAGATTCAGAGATGCTCTCCATTCAGAGATTCCAATCTCATTTCAAGGCATTTTGCTTAATAACCAGAGTTTAGTCATGGCTCAGACATATCTTACAGTGCCCTCAATAGATCTATCTATGGTCTTTGTGGTCATTTCCAGCTCTATTGATTCTACCCTAAGGGCCTAATCATCAAGAAAGCAGAATATTGATCAGACAGCCCAGGGGCAAGGGGATCATAAAAGATCCCAGGAGGAAAAAATTTAGTTCTCATGTAACAAAACATCAAGCTTAGAGGGCCATAACATTCATTTAAATGCTTAAGATATTAGAAGTAAAATGATTTGTTACTATATTCTTTTAAAAACTGTGTTTTCTTTATAGCTTCTAACTTTTGTTTAAAAAAGTTTTGGCATGAAAATCATCACACATAAATGCAAATGCAATTTAACAAAATGTCATATTTTATGTTTTAAGTGATTAGAATGTTTAATTATCTGTTAAAATTAAGTTGTCAGGTTCTTCTTCATACAAAGTGAGCTGTTTTATTTCATGTTTTACCACACTGTAGAGATTTTTTTTTAAGAGATTTGAGATAAAGAGACAAAGGAGGGAGAACCAAACTTCTTGAATAAACTAAATATAGTCGTCATGCACACACTGTATCCTTCGCATGGTGAGTGACATTTATTTGAACTTAGTACTTTACTTTTATACGCTGGGGAGTAATTGCTAGTGAAATTTTTTTAAAAAGTAAAAGCACAGTCTGCTACCTTTGCTGTCATCAACATCTCCAAGTTATGGTTTATGGCCAAAGTCTAATTTCTGGCCTCCAGATGTTAATACTGAGGAATTTGGTGGCAGAATGAATTACTTCTCATAGGAAAATGGCAGTATATGACATACTGGTGAAGCCTACACTCTCTGAAGTCAGACAACTGGAGTTCAAATACCCAAGCTCTGTCCCTCCCTAGCTCTGTGACCCTGAGCAAGTTGCTAAGCCTTTATAAGCCTCAGTTTCCTTGTCTATAGAATGGAGATAATTAACAGCACTTCCTCTTTGGGTTGTTATGAGGGTTTAATGGGATAACATATAAAATTCTTGCCTCATAGAAAGCAGCTAGTAAATGCTAACTACCATTACTGTACTAATAATCTGAAATGCTCACTCAAATTATACCATTCTAACAAATATTTCTGCCAAACTGTTTCAAAGTCATTAAACATAGAAAAATAGAAGATCGATTTCAAAACAAATTTGTCTATGAGATCTGGATGCTTACAGCCAACATCCAGAGTTATCTTGCCAGTTGCTCTTCCAGCATCATTGATGGCTACACATGTATAATCACCAGCATCCAGATCTTGCGTTTCTTGAATCTTCAAAAGTCCCAAGAGAGGGTCAATAATGAGAAATGTTGAGGGTCTCAACTCAAGATCTCCTAAGTTCAAACAAAAGGAGAGCATTAATTACATCATTACACACTGAAGTATTTACACAGTTTACTCAGCTACTGGTTTGATTCCAAAACTTCAGAATAAATTTGATTGCAAATTTTTAAAGCACAGTGTCTGGTACAACATAGACTTTTTCTGTAGTCTAAAATCTGGCCCTGGAATGAATTGCATTCAAATACAACAGTACTTCAAAAAGTTCATGGAAAAATAAAACGAAAAGGTAATCTTTCCATGAACTTTTTGAAATATCTTCATATTTCCTATTTACATATCTATATGTTCCTAAGTAAGAATAAGCTCTTTGAAGCTACACTGGGGAATTGGGAAGGCTGGCAACTGTAACCCTGGCTGTGTTAGGTAAGAAAATAGGAAGATGAGGATTGAGAAGAGGTTTCTGCCTTCTTTGTGGCAGAATGCATTTCCAGGAAATGCATGAGAGACTGGAGTTTAGCTGATGACAAGGCTTTTGGATTGCTGAATATTATCGGTTAGATTTTGTCTTGGGAGAGTTGTAAGCTGGTTTAGAGAATTCTGTGGATGGCTGGGGAGGAAGGGAACATAGCTGGCTGAAGAGGCTGAGGAAAAGCTTGCTGGGAGAAGAAAAGGTATCAATGAGAAATTTCTGAAAATGGCCAGAGTTTTGTGACATAAATCTCCCAGGATATTTCTACTGAAATCTGTATTGCTAATCAGAATTCTTGACGTTATAGTTAATGCGTTTCTGGGAGGAAGCAGGTAAGGAAAAAATGAGTGGGAGATAAAATCACATAATGAGTTTGATCTCAGTGTGAGGCTAGGATGAACCAAGAAAGACTAGTTATGTCTGGGTTTTCTGTACATGCTTTATGTCACTGCGGCACCTCAAATCTCCCAAGAACCACTTCTATTTGAAGGCAGACAATGCCCCAAAAAAGCTGTAATTTAGGTTAAATTCTCCTGTGCTTCCCCTCCTCTAGGGTGTCTCCTCTCTGAAGAATAAAATTAACCAGAATGATCAGCATCATAAAAAATTTCATAGTACTGGATGTTTAATACCAGCTCAGTGCTCGTATATTTTTTTGTTTGTTTTTGTAAAGGGTGGTATCAAATGTGTGAGGATCCTAAAAACATCTAGGAGGTTTGAGGGCCACTGGTCTTAGAGTTTCATAGCATTCCCAGATGTCAAGTCTGAAAAGGTACTCTCCAAAATGTCACACACCAGCCATGTGCCCTGGGCACACAGAAGTAACTCGCTTAGCTTCTAATGGACAAAGAGAGTCTGGGAGCTAGTAATTCTCTAGGACATCACAAACAGCACCAACCAGCAGTCTCAGGGCAAGAAGCAGACAATTCTTTTTTTGTTTATATAATTTTCTGAATAGAGGAGGTCAAAGGAGCTCTAAATTTAAAAACAAAAAAAAATTATATTAGCAAGCAACTCTCAGTGCCAAAAACAAAGTATTTTTCAGTATTCCAATATTCAAAACCCCTATCATCCTTTAAACTTGCTACTACATCCCATGCAAGAATGAAAGAAGCAACTGAACTGTGTCCATGTGCCTCTGGGGGGAGATTTTCATAAATAATAGCAGGTGCTGTTGACATAAACTTTCCTCCCACCAAGGAAGGATACAATGTGACCTCACTATTCATCAAGTATTAAAACGTTTGGACTAAAATGCATTTAGATTTGTGTAATTTACTTCTCTTTTATATTTCTTCTCTATATGTCAGAGGACATAAGAGGATGAAATAAAAATCTTTTTGCTAGTAGCTTTTTTTCAAAATAAAAAATGTTTAAAGAATAGCAGTCATGAAACAAAATATAATTTGGAAAACACTAGTTCAATCAAGTTTGCATTTTGATCACACTTTGATAACCTCTCCTTTCTTGATTTCTACTGAAAAATTAGTCATCAAATTATTGAGAAATACAGAACATTTCAGATGAAATAGGAATTATTTCATTTTAATATTAGATAAGATTCTAAGAATGTTATACATAGTAAAATATATATCCATTATAGGATTTAACCGTCATTTCCATTGAGAGGTAATGGCACAGTTTAAATTCAGTCCTGACTTCTGTGGATATGAAGACTAGCAGAGAGATCATTTTCCCTGGCATAAGATTCTTTCACATAGTTGATGGCACAATTAAGTGGTTATCAAAAATGTTTGTCTCAAGACCCCTTAAGTATACTCTTAAAAATTATTGGGGACACCAATGGATTTTTGGTTATGTAGATTCTATTTATTTGTATTTAATATTTTAGAAATAAAACTGAGAAATTTTAAAATATGTGCATTAACTTATTTTATAATGAACTCATGACAGATTAACATAAGGAACACATTTTATGAAAAAAAATAATTATATTTTACCAAACAAGAGAGACTTAGTGCAGAGGAGCATTGTTTTACATTTTTGCAAATCTCTATAATGTCTAATGTCTAGGAGACAGCTGAGAACTCATATTTGCTTCTGCATTCACTCTATTGGATATCACACATCATGCAAGCTCCAGAAACTCCTCTATTCACTAGTGAGACAATGAGAGTGAAAAAGACAAATAAGATCTTAATATAATTATGAAAACAGTTATGTTCTCATGGATCCCCTGAAAGAACTGTGGGGAACCCACAGAGAATACAAACTACAATTTTCAGAACCACCAATCTAAATACATAAATCCAATTTCTTTCATATTTTATCACAAATATTTCTTTCATAAGGTTTTAATAGTGTCCCAGATTCTCCTTTGAACCCACTTTATGTTGCTCATTTCTAAAAATGAAGATCTAAACTTTCAGAGAGCATTTGTGTCATGGAATTCCTTTTTTCAGGTGGCCTGAATGAAATAGTTTTTGTTTTTTCTTTTAAATACCTACTTAATTCAATCAGAATTGCCTGAAGAAGGGCATGGAGAGAAGTTGTTTCTATGGTTAAGACTGGAACTGGAAGCTTCACCCTTGGGATTTCCATCAGATAGGATTTTCCTAACCTTCCCAATGTCTTGTTTCCAGCAGAGGTAGAAAAGAAAGGCCCGCCTGCCCCAACCTCTTCTGTTTTGGAGCCAGTCAGCCTGCAGAAGAGTTTGTCCTCTAGTCTTGCTCATGGTGGTCACGACTCTGCTTGTGCAGTAAATTGTCTGCCTGTGACTAGGAGGGTAACTTGGACGGATCCTGGGATTCTGGGCAGCTTTATCTCCTGCTGATGATCATCAGGATCATGTCTTCCAATACGGTCTATCAGTACCTAATGCCCATATTCTCTCTCTCTTGGTTTATAACTTGAATAGGAAAAGGGGATGTTACTTGCTAACTGAACTGTAGTATCTATAGTTGAAAGAAGAAACAAGTAGGTAGTGAATTCTAGAATTTTCTGTGTGGTGGCTGCATATGTCCCTACCTTATCCTTTAGTTTCCAAGCTATTTGTGAGACCAAAACTGGCATGAAGACTAACTTGTTCAGAAGAGTAGCCTCAGTTTTGGAGAACAGAGGCCATTCTGTGTGACTCTGCTATCTACAGGTGGAGAAATCAGCACGTTCCATTACTTTTTTGAATTCACATTTTTATCATAAACTTCTGAACAACATTTAAAAAGAAGAAATACTGTCTCTATAACACATATTTTCTGGATTTATTTAATTATAATGTAAATTTGAATTAGTATCTATTTCATTGGCAATTCAAAAACTTAAGTATTTTAAGTAAATAAGTAAAATTTGTTTATGTTAACTGCAATAAACCTGATTAAGGAACAAATCCATAAATGCTTTTT